TAAACAAGAAACGTTATGGGAGACTTAAAAAGCTCGGAGCGCCTGCTCGGCTAACGGGAGGACAAAGATCTGTCGCTAATCTCAGGTGCCGGGGATCTGCAGTGAGCGGTCCAAAGCTATAACTAGCAGCGTTTTATCATGTATATCAAATATATCATTTAAAACGAACAGTTCAACAGTTATGCAAACAATAAAAGTTACGCACAAGTTCAGAGCAATAACAGAAACATGATTTAACCATGTGATTTTCACAACATAAGCTAATTTTGGTAAATTACTGGTCTCCTGTAATTTCACTGCATTAACAGGAAAAACGATCTCCCTTGACAACACTACAACTAAAATGTCACAGCACAGAAAATGTTAAACCATTAATATAAATATTAATAACAAATTATAGATGAAGATATAAGGAGTAGCTCAGACAATGTTCTATTCTAATTCTTAACAAGAAAGTTTTCAAAATGTCGGTCTAAACAGTTTTCAAGAGCGCCCCTGATACTTGTGTGGCATGGCGCGCGCATAATTAAAGAACTGATCATTCCAGATAGAACTTCTCAAACTGTGGACGTTCATGTTACCTTGCAGGGTCCACACACTAGTCACTCCAACAGTATTTGCTGCAACAACTGATAAGTCCAAATCTTTTAGCTCGTCCAAAACTACAAAAGGTGAATGATTGGTGAACCACGGAGAAGTCCACTCACTTGACGTAACCACAAATGTTGGCGGATTCAGCACGAACTCCATCGCTACATCAGTCTCTTTATCGGAGCTAGAATCAATGTAGGTTTCTGTTTCAGAGAATGGGAGCTCGGCCACGCTGTTTGAGGATTGTTCCATGTTCATGGAGTTGCGACCTAAGATACAAGGCATGACGATTGAAACTCAGTTGAGGCGTCGTAGAACAAGAAGGCTTCAAAGCGTCCGAGACCAATTTGTGCTGTACGTTTTTTCAATCAAGCACTCAGGTTGTGTTACATGATTCATAAGGGAAGTTAGTTTGTTTTGCATCCATTCCGTCAAAACCCTGTACGCGTACCTCTCAGAAGTTGTTTGAGACTCCAATCATTATTAACCCGGATCATTCACTTGTTGTATGTTTTTCAATTCGAAATTGCTGGCACAGGATCTCAAAGTGATCCCGTACAAAAACACCAACTCTCTATACTACTTTACATATCGTGGAAATTATTTAACGAAATCGTTTGATGGAATCCTTTTATAACATGCGCTTCAAGCATATCAAAACCGATTCTTAACCTTCGAAGCGAAAGGAAGCGCACTGAATATGTGATACACATCGTACTCTGAGCCATAATTAGGGATAAGCTTGTTATGATCTCTGTTACAAAGTCATTTAGAATCATACTACGTTGTTTACCGAGAAACTGCATCTTTTTTTCATTAAGGGCATTGGAAACGTTCTGCGGCGTTAAAGAAT